ACCTCTTTATTAAAGTAAACTAATATCTATTAACGTTAAATTACCGTACTTCTATTAATTTCACAATACGTCATATAAATATCGTCTGTAGTAAAGTGTATGTCTTTTAATGAGCAACCTTTTCGATTCATTAGTCACGGGTGAATTGAATTATAGTTAAATTAGCACCGTCAAGCAAAGCCCGGAGAAACATCTCACGAGCAATATTTTTATCTCTATCTAAAACCAAAGAATTTTTTTCTTCCAACTTATTTATTAACCACCCACACCAACTACACGTCTTGCTCGTGCAGTAGAGATATCACATTATAATGATAAAATTCGGTAACGGTCGAAATCACAATTCCGAACGTTCATAAGACCAAAACGAATATCAAAATTTCGAATGAAGAAATCCCGAAAGTATAGTACATGTATCCCAAAATGCATGAAATATTAAAATTACATGTACATGTATCGCGATTTCGGGATTTCGTTCATTCAGGATGCCGTTCATTCGGGATTTCGATAATTCGGGCTTATGACGTTCGGGATTTGTGTTGTTCGTGATCTCGTACCGGACCCAATAAAATTATCGGGTTTTGTACATGTAAATTTATTGATCTGAATTTTAGGAAATTTGCAAATGGCTCGTGACCAAATGAGTAAATGACCATTGCATAACGATAATATATGCACTACAACTACACATAGCGTAATTGTATACCTTGCTTTTTTACTATTATTTAAACAATTCATGTGCATATATCGATAACTCAAAGATGGAATCATATTGATTTTGAATATGAGCACTGCTGCGATGAGTGTTTGGTTCATGATTGTAGTAAATGTCAAAAGAGGACTGTTGGTTATATTTTTATATATCACAAATGAATTTATAAATTGTCTAGCGGAGATAAAGGTATCAACAATCTACTAAAAGAATTGATAAAAAGTTAAATTATTCGAGTGGATCCTTCGAAAGATTTTACCAACGTTGAATGTCTTGCAAAAAGAGGTTTTGGGACAACTTATAAAGCAACCTGATTGGATGAATCATTAAATAAATAAGCTAATAAATGGAATAAATTAAAACGAGATGAAAAATTAAATGTGTTGAAATCATTTACATAATCCAAAGCAAATTACTCCAGCATTTACAAAAGAAGTGAAATGAATATTTTCTAAAGAAAAGTTGACTTTATTTCTAACACAAACAAAAATAGACTCAGATTGCTCTTGAATGCAGCATTAATTGATGCTACTGAAAATTCAGCTACAAATGTACATTTAATAGCATTGTTGTCTATTAGCTTAGCCACATAAATTCTCGGGTTTTACCTATACATGTTGGATCTCGAGAAAGTAAGGCGCAGCACGATGGTAGGAAGACAAGACTGAATGATTTACAAGGGGAGGAGTTCTCTGATTGTTCTAAAGGTCACCTGTGATTGTTTTTACGAAAAATACCCTGCTTTCATATTGCATGTAATTCTAGATTATCTAATCAATTTTTTGATTCAACTTGATCCTTTTACATGCATTGATTGCTGAAGGTGATCGATTGTTTCCAGGAAGAGACAATGAGAAAAGTTTGATAATGTGAATGTGAGAGAGAAAACATGTTGTATGCTTTAAGTATGCGTCTTTTCATCTATTGCTGTTTTGAGAGAAGATTTTTTGTTAACGTTGACGTTTATATGATTTATGAATTAGGTTATTCTATCTTAAAATGAACAAAAATTCATGGTGCCGTCTAAAAGTTCACCAAAATATGAAACACGAGCTAACAAGCTATAATAATGATACTTGAATGAAGAAATAGTACTTTTTGAAAAAGTTTTATATACCCGATTGGTTATAGGCATTTGTCATGCAACGGACTCTTCGCCAATAAACTTTCATTATTTTGATCAAATAAAAGAGAGATAATCTGTGATAATTATAAGCGACAGCAAGTCACAATCATGATATCGATTCATACCCGAAAAAATATTATTGAATTTTAAACTGTCACGTATAACTGGTCCAATATTCTTTAGCAAGCTTTGTAGAGAATGTTCTAATTCTATTAAGCGAACAAATCGGCATCCACCAATAATCAATATAAATTTTTCGAAATTAAATAATTAATAAAACGTGTACAGTTGAGCGCCTAAACCATTTCAAATAGTTACGGTTGTAAAGTTTAGGTTTTAAACCTAAACTATCGATATGCATTTTCGGCGTCCAACTTTAACAGTTACAGAAACACGAACGTTTATGAACAAATTCGTATGCTCGTAGATTCTGAAAAAACAACACGTAAAAAAAGACTGACGTGTATTTAATCAAATTCAAAACTCATTTTGATTTAGAATAATTCTGCTTGTTGTTCTATTTTGCTCTCTTATAAGAATAAATATTGTGCCTTAATGATTTTTTTTGTTCAGTATCAGATCTTTAACACATAATTATTGTCATTTTGTTCTTGTTATAAAATCACAAACAAAATATTCATAGTTTGAAAAATGCGGTATAGTCATCGTCACAATTCCACTTGCCACCTTATAAACTTTTTTGATCAAACAATTTAGTCATGCGTCTAATGACAAAAAGACTAAGGGTATTCATATTAATGATTATCTCTATATCAGAACAAGCTTTATGATAGCGATAGAGCACAATTTAATTGTCCTAATCCGTTTCTTTTATCGAGGTCTGACTAAATTTCGAAACTTCACAAATATGTTATTAAATTCTCAACGATTAGTGTTTGACTCTTTTTTTATAAAGGCATACTCATTATGTTTATATTGTGTTCAAACAAACAAAACGAATATGTCATTGAGTACGCGGTGCCTTCGGCTGTGGATATTATATGTAGTACGTATGGTTCAGTATGCGCTATTAATAGTAAAGTTTAATGCATTTTATTGTTTATCAAAAGTATACAGTAAACTTCGCTAAATCGAACCCTCTATACGCTGAAACCTCGATAAGTCGGAGAAGAATTGTTAATTAGTACATACACTAGAATTACCCTCAATAAGACGAAACCTTTCTAAATGAAGATAATGACCAAAAGTGTCACCACAACTTAGAGAGGTTTATTGTGTAAATAATTTTCCCCAAAGAATTTGGATATTCATTACTTAATGAAAAGATATACAAATTAATTAAAATATATGCGTTTGGAACAAGTTCTGGGCTCGCAACTAAATAAAATTACCCGCATACCGTATAGTGATTTCAATTCAACACTATAAGTTCATTAATTCCAGAATTTTTGGACCGAGTTCTGTTTAACAATTGTAAGTAAAAAATAAACAAAAGTTGTTAAAACATCTTTATTTATTAATATTTTATTTAATGAATCTGCATTTACGTGCATTTTTAATACTCTTAACTTCGAACGGAACAATTATTCGACATCCAGGCAAATATTTCTTTACCAAATTACCTTTTCATAATTATTCGTTGTTACCACCACTACAGGTTCATTATTACCGCCAGCTGTTAAAGAGGAATTGGTATGCGTGTGGATTAACAATAAATAGATCACACAAAGTATAGCTCCTAAAATAGAATGAAATTATGGATTCGTTGTAACAAATGTACTGCACATACACCAAAAGTATCCGGACAAGATAATTTATAAAATGATCGTAAACGCGATTTATGGCACAACCAATGATTCAAATTTTATAATTCTTTTTTTTTCATTAGAACCCCGAAATTCTAAGCTTTCAGAATACATCTTTTTTATAAAAAATGGTCTACTAGAAATTATGTAATTATCGTTTGAGTAAAATTGATTCCCTTTTTTGTTTGCTAAATTCAAATGATGTTTTTAAAGAATTCACATATTAACTTTAAATAAAATTTATATGATTAGAATCAGCCAAACCTGCATTATTTGATGATATATTTATTTTTTCTCATTAGCTAGTTATAGATCAATTTGTTCATGTATATATTTTACATGATCATTTAATATTTCATTGGTTTGACCTTGATTTTATGTTTTTATAACATTGCCAAGTATGAATTTAAGTTTATTAATAGTTTACTGATTTCACTTTTTTTGAATTTTCATAAACTAGCAAATTTTTCATATTCAAAATCTGTAAGTTCTGATCTTTTAGATATTACTTAAAAATTATTGTTTTGAAAAGCAAAAAAATTTTCTGAAAATAGTAATAAAATTGAATCTAGTAAAAAATCAAATAATTTGGATGGTTGATTGCAAAAATTTTTATATGCACAATACCTTTAATTAGATAAAAGGATAAAAAATTTTATTTTCTAAAACTAGAAAATTAGACGCATTCAACAAAAATAAGTACATTGAAACATGTACGTGTACATGTATTTGGTGTTCGTTTAAAATTTGTTACTTTTTCCAGTTGCCGATCTTGTCCCGGATATTAATTATACATGTATTACATTTACATGTATTGTAATATGAATTATATTTTAAACTACATGAATTCTAATTCTAATATGTAATATAAATAATTGTATTCTATTAATATCAATTTATATGAGAAAAATAGTAGCTTAAAATTTTACTATGATAACTGGTTTTTGAAGATATTGGTAGTAATGCTTAGTATATTTACCAAGAAAAGATAACTTCGAAAATCATGCAACAAAAAGATATTTGAATGAATTTTTATATTATTTAGTTCGGTATACATGTAATAAAGCCAATTTGCACCATTTGTCACAAATTGAACAGTTCATCGCCTTGTTCACATAGAAAGGTCTCTAACTTTATTGTAAAATTTAGGATATATTTTTAAGATTATATTCGAATTTAAATATTAAGATATAACTTCTAACTTATTAATAGATTGAATTTATAAATTTAATAAAACTTTTAAGTAAATGCAACTTGTTATCCTTTTGTAAAATAATAGTTTATGAGTTCTGTTTAATTTGCTTTTCAATTGTAAAGGTTTAGAATAGAACACGAATAAAGCATGATCATTATACATATTATTATTTTTAATATTCTAGTCATGCTGATAATTTTTTTAAAATATTATGCAAAAGTTGTACTGAGATCCCTCATCGTCCGAATATCCATCGTTATCAGAATATTGATTCGAATCGTATGTTTCGCCATTGTCATTAGAATATTGGCTTGAATCCTCGTATGTTTCGTCATCGTTTTCAGAATATTGGCTTGAATCACCACATGTTTTGCCATCATTATCAGAATATAGGTTCGCATCCTCGTCATCATCATAATCGTTATATGCATGTACATCACACGGTTCTTCGTCATTGATTTGCTCTTCCAGCTCTTGATATTCTTCACGAAATCGTTTGTTCCGTATTTCTTTCTCGATTCGTCCATATTTTCTCAAAACGGTAAAATTTTTTTTTCGTTGCTTTTCACAAAGAATTTTTGAAACTGACGATTGATAGTGCTTTCCATCTAGAAAATATTAGTTTGTAAAAAATAAATTACAAGTAAATACGTCTGAAATCTTTTTCTTTTATGGCATACGAAAATATCAGCATATACATGTATCAGAAAATTGCTCAATCTATGCAAACGTAGTTACAGTACTTAGACATACATGCATGTTTATTTTTATTATGCTTGTGTTTCATTATCAGGCTATCTTTATAAATTTGTTGATAAGAATATACAAACTGTCAAAACTGTGTGAATTACTGATAGATTAATGTGAAAAAAAATCCCAGAAACACGTAATTTCTTAAGGATAAACCAATCAAATCTCAAGTTCTAATTATCAAAATTGCAGAATACAGTCAAATCTCATTAAGCCGAAGTGGTCGACGCAATTAGTAAAAAATTTGAAAAATTCGGTTTTCTCATTAAGCCGAAGTGGTCGACGCAATTAGTAAAAAATTTGAAAAATTCGGTTTATCGTGGATTTATTATAATTGTTTCCGGAATTAACTTCGGTTTTAATTAGTACTTTGGTTTGACTGTAATATATTATTAATAATATCATAATTAAAGTAAAAAATATATCAGCTAGTTGAATTATATCTTTATATAATCAAATTAGCAATTTTGCATTAATAATGGAAGAATAATAATTTGCAAATATTACCGAAAATAATTTACAGATTTGTGTTAAGTTTAATTAAAATTAATGTTATAAAATTAATTTCTTTAATAATTAAAAATAAGGAATTATCGATCTTGAAATTCTCTTAAAATTATAATTATATTTATGATCAAACACTTCATTATATTGAACTGGTGAAAAATTTATAATTTTATACTTTGAATTAGATGCATTTACTGCATAAAATATTAATAATAAAAAAATATGTAAATAGAATAATTTGTAATATTTCAGTTCTAATAAAAAAAATTAAAAATTAAAGAAAACTAAATACTTTTTGATATAATTACTTTATTATATTTACAATATTATAGTCAAGAAAGCAAGATTATTTTAAAAAACGCATTTACAATTATTTTATACAATGTAATATAGATTGTATTACAATTATTCATCTTTGATTAGAATATTAATAACTTTTATTTAGTCATTTATATTTATAAGAATAAATATTATAGTCAAGAAAGCAAGATTAAAAGATTTATAATCATTTTGTACAATGTAATATAGATTGTATTACAATTATTCATCTTTGATTAGAACACTAATAACTTTTATTTAGTCATTTATATTTATAAGAATAAATATTAATTTAATATTATAAATAAACAGAAATTAGTAAAACTACTTATAAATTAAGCTAATATTCAGTATAGTTATATTTTCTTAATAGTATATACTTATATTTATTTATGAATAGAAAAATAATATTTAATATCATATATTTAAAAGAAATTACTAAAGATAATAATTCAGCCCAAAATAAATAAATAAAAAATTCAATTTATTAAAAATTAATATTATTCTCTCAATTTAATATTTATCATTATTCCTATTATAAAAATATTTTAATTAATAAATTTTTTAATTTTTTATCTAATATTTTACAAATTTATAAATGTGCTCAATTAAATTTTTAAATATATAAATTTTTATCAAAATTAAATCTTTATTCAGTTTAATCAAATCTGAACTTAATTTAACACTTCATTTTAGATTTGAATTGCTATTTTTCAATTAGTTTGATTTCATTTTATTCTGTATTTGTATCAAATGTGAATACTATAATTTGATTGATTTAATTCAGTTAATAATTTTGATTAATAGATTATTTGTATAGATAAACAAGAATTGTGACACAACTTTTTCTCATAATGAAGAGTCAAGAGAAATAAATCGGCACCATCCCCATCTCTAATAGTAATTGCAATTGGATTGATTTACTTTTCTGGCTTTCATCTGTTCTTTAAGTAAGTCATTTATTTAATTCGGTTCTGTGTAAGAATTAAGAGTCGATATTTGCGAGTTTGCGAAGGTAACCTTTTGTTCCTCCAAATAATGATGCAATAAATCTTTATAGTGACTCTGGCAAATTTCAGCATATGGTATGACTTTGTTATAAAATCAAACGAATTAACTGAAAACGAATCAATGCTAAAAGTTTTCGAGAGTAAATTTGAGTTGTTTAAATTCGTTGTTTCTAATCATCTGGTGACAAATCAAGCACACTTTCGCCGGACACCTGCAGCTTGAGAGATCCCATTCGAGCATTTTTATCACAAAAATTATAATTCATAAAAATCAATTTATAATCAAATTTGCTTACATAGTTAGAACCGTTTGACATATATAAATTATTAAATTAATTATCGAGTGTTTACAAAATAGTTAAAACCTCTCGAGTTTTTTTGTGAAAAATTATATTTGTGATTGCTATATCCAGAGACCGTATTTGGCGGAATATAAGCAACATCCCCGTATTGGTTTTTTACCCTATTTTTTTGAATCTTAAAAAAATAGTACCAAACTTTTAATCAGCTGCTTCGTTGAAAATTAATTTTAATTGGTTATCGAATGTGATACATGTACATGTAACAAGTTTAAAAGTCGCTATTATTTAAAAAGTCGCAATTATTAAAAAATTAAAAAAATAATTTAAAAAATATTATCATCATTAAGTAATAAAAAAAAGATAAAAATGGTATTTTCGTATCATATTTTTTATTATCTGTTATGACAAAAATCCTTCGTACTTCATATGCAGCCAGAGAAAAACTTCGCATTATTGCTTATTGCAAACAAAATTCTTTACAAATGCTCAACAAAAATATGTAATTAATTTTGCACAAATATCAAAATGGTGTAAAAATGAATCAGCTGTATCAAAAGCTAAATCTAAAAATCACCATATTGGTGCTGGTTTAAAACCTTTATATTCAGATGTTAAAGAAGAATTAAATAAATGGATTGAAATTTTACATCAAGATGGAATCACTATTATAACATATATAATTCAACAAAAAATAAAGTCTCTCCTTAATTATGAATACTCACAACAATATCCAAATGCTAAAAGATATCTTCACAGCATCTTATAAATGGCTCTATGGCTTTATGAATTATTATAATCTTTTTATTTGTCAAAAAACAAATTTGGACAAAAATTATCTAGAGATCTTTCAAATTATTTAATATACATATATTTAAAGCATACAATTTTAAAATCAATATCCTTTATCACAAATTGCAAATATGGATAAAACTCCAATTTTTTGATATGATTAGTGATTTGACAATAAAAAAAAGATATGCATATAATTCAACTTCACACTATAGGAAATGATAAAAATCACTTCACACATATTTTAATAATTATTGCTAATAGAACTAAACTTAAATCTATAATGATTTTTAAAGGCAAAAAATCATCAAAAGATCTTTCTTCTAATATTATAGTTAGAATGCAAGAAAATAATTGGATGAATAAAAATCTAATGATAACTTGACTTCAAGAAATATAAAAAATCATTTTAAATTAAATGAAAAATTATTATTAAAATGATAGTTTTGAAGATCATAAAATAAGACTTGTAAAAGAAAAATATCAACAAAATAATATTGATTTGGCTATTATATCTGGTAATCTTATATTACTTATTCAACTATTAAATATTTATATTAACAAACTCTTAAAGATAAAATATATAAAAAATGGCAGAATTGAATGAAAAATAAGCAATATACATTTATTAAAGATGGAAATTTACAAAAATATAATTATAATTTAGTTTATGGATGAATTTTAGAAATTTGGGATGATATATCTATAGAAATGATTTATAATAGTTTTAAAAAATATAAAATTATTGAAATTATCAATATGCATATAGGATATATAATAATAATCATATACTTATATTCTGCCAAAGATAAAATTTATTTGATCTCATAATAATTTTATAATTATAATAAATTTTTCTTTAGCTGATATAATACAGAATATAAATAAAGTCAGATAATAATTTTTTATTTATTCATTTACTTTATATGAATTTATATTTTTAAGTAGATACTTAAATGATTTCTTATTCAAAGAATCTAATTTCAAGTTTGAAAATTCATTTAAACAAAGAAATAATTATATTTTAATTTTAAACTTGTACAGATTTCTGATATTTCATAATAAAACTTTTAAATATGAATTCAAACTATTATTTTCTAAATAATATTTCATACAATTTTCAAAAATTAATTCATTAATAATTTAAAATATATTTTATATTATGACAAATTGATCTTATATATATATATAAAATAATAATAATAAATAAATTAAAATATTATTCACAATCTTTTAAGATTATCTTAAATTCTTATAATATTCTTTTTATTGATAAGAAACAGAAAAATTACTGCTTATTATATATATTTCTTATTCTAATTTAAATGATAATAGTAATATATATATATATATATATATTGATATATATAATCATTATAAAAATAATATTCAATTTTTTAAAAAATGAAATTTTTAATTTATTTATTATTAGCTAATACATTATTAGCTCTTTATATAAATCTAAAATTACTTTGATTTCTTAATATATTAAGTCTATAATCTTTAAAATTAATAAATCAATTTGAGTTTTTTCAAAATCTTTAAAAAGTTTTTGTATTTTTAAATATTATTTTATAATAACTTGCAAATATTTCTATAAATTTAGAACTAAAATATCATAATATTTATTAATTTTCTCTATTCAATTCTATTTATGACTTCTATTCAATATTATTTTTTAAAATATTATATTTTCTCAAAATAATAAATAAATTATATTATAAAAAAAGATTAAATTATTTAAAAAATCTTTAGATAAACTTTTATATAGATTTTATTATTAATATTTATGAAATTTTTCTTGATTATTAAAAGCTCATAATCTTTTAAATAGTAATAAATTTTTATTTTTTCTATTATTTTTATACTTAACAAGAAATTATTAAATTATTATCAAATTATAATATTACTATAATAATATAAAATTCTTTAATTCTAAACTCTTTTTTTGGTTATGTAAAATTTTATTTTTCTATAATTTTATAATTTATTATATTTATATATCTATCCTAAATCTTATATTTTATTCTCTTAATTTGAGATTTATATTTTCAATTTACATTTTACATATACTTAATTTAGTATACTTAATAAAGTAATATAGTTAATAATTTTTTTAATTCTTTGTAAAATAATAAAATATTAACATTTTAATAAAATATTAATATATTAATATTCTGATGAAATAATAAAATACTAACATTCTGATAAAATAATAAGACACTAGTATTTTAGTAAAATAATAAAATATTAATATACTAATATTCTAGTATATCAAACAGATTATAAATCTTTATAGTTGAAATATTTTAAAGTATTAATATATATATTTAGATAATATTAACTAATAATACTATAATAATTTTGAATTTGAAAAATATATAAAAAAACTTGCTATACCAATTTGAATTGAATTGAATTATTTGAAAAATATAATTAAAAAGCTTATTATTATAATAATAATAATTTTTTAATTCCTTTTCTAATTATATTAGTATTCTTTTTCTCACTCAGTTTTATTTCTTTAATTATACAACATTAATTTTGATTTGAATATAATATTATATTAATTTTAATTTTTAATATTTTTTTATATTTTTGAAAGTAGAAGATCTTGACCATAAATAATCTATACTTTTGTTTTTAATTATTTTTGAAAGTAAAAAATCTCTACTATAAATAAATTATACTTTTTTATTATTTATTTTATTTTTTACTTTAGCTTTTATCTTTTTTTTAGTTATAATCTTCTTTAATTAATAGTAGCTTTACTATTTAATTACTTTAAATCTTAAATTATAATTGATTAATAATAGCTTCACTTATTAATCTTTATAATTTCTTTAATTTATATTATTTTTATATTATATATTTATATCTTTTAAAAATAATATTTATAGATATTGATACAGATCTTAGAAATCTTTATCAGTATTAAAGTTATAATCTAATTTCTCTCTTTTTATTTATTATTTGATTTATTTTCTTCCAATTCAATATCACTAAGATGAATTCAAATGAAAACTCACTTATTAGATCTGTTATAATATATTTTTGATGTCTTCTCTATAAAATTAAATTCTGCAAATCTATTACTATCAACTCTTTTATATTTAAATCTCTTTTTATTTTTAATATCAATTTTTTATTTATCTAAGTAACTAATAAATAATTATATCTTGAGTTTTTATAATCAATTATTATTCTTTTATTAGATTATCTATTAATTATTACTTACAAATATATAAAAATTCTAATTTTACTATTAAAATATCTCTTTTAATACTTTTATTCCTATTATCCTTTTCAATCTGAATTTTTACTTTAATTTTGAATTTTTTATTTACTTACTAAAAATATTAGAATAGTATCTATTATTACCATAGTGACATAAAATTCCTTAATTTCTTAATTTTTTTCTAGTTATAAAATATTATATTTTATTATAATTTTATTTATTTTATTAATATCCCTATTTTCTATATTATTTATTACTATATTTATTATTACATTTCTATTTTTAACATTATATTTTATTTAATATTTGGAATTTACATTTTTATTAACTTATAATATGATATTCATATATA